TTATCCAAATATCAGGTTTACATTTTGCATTATTTATGGCTTTAGTTTCAAATACATCCATAACTCAAATTTAAGACACTTAAAAGCTAGAATACAAAATATTAACGTCCTACTTTTTTTGATTTGCCAAGATATCAATACATTTTGCAAACTTACCAAAACAACCCCCCCACTACTCCATTCTTTTGAAACCTCACACCTACATCTCTTAAATACGTTTATAACCAACAGAAAGAGCACATTTGAAACTATGTAAATCTGAGAGTTGTTTGTAATTGGCCTAAAATGAGAACTCTTTTAACTGGAAATGGTGAAGTCTGTTGACAAAGTTGCTGCTCTGAGTAAAAATTAGTTTTTTAACTCTTATATAGCTTAGATAGAAAGCCAGATAAATTACAGGTTTCATGTGTACCAGTATATTAATTTTATAAATTTTTGGTTTTCTAAAATGCATCTTTGAAATCTACAAAAAATTAATTTTGTCTTACCCCTCCAATTGAAAGAATAAACGATTGTGTTTGTTTGTTTTGAATTTCGTGCAAAGATACACAAGGGCTATCTGTACTAGCCGTGCTTATATATATATATATAAATTTAGGAGGTTTTAGGTTTAAGTATTTTTAATCTTAACATGAAAATCACATTGCACTTGGAACTGTCCAACACTGACTCCATATATTCATTGACAAATCTTCAGTAAAAATATTTCAAAATTCTAATTTCTTGTCTACAAAAGACTTGTGATGTTTAATGAAAACTTGAAAAATTTCATGACGATACACAACACATGTTAAAATTTATAGTATGGAACTCAGATGTTCATTTTCAGGTCATGTGATTGCTGTAATACACCAAGGTAGTAGTGAAGGAACTAATATCTTTCTAATATATTGACCACTAACCTGGCTGTAAAGCACCAAAAGTAATATTTTTCGTATCCACTCATCACTTACCAGGTTGTAGTGCACCAGCACTTTCATCAGGTTCTGATAAATCGTGTGATATCTTCTCCTCTGAAGTAAATGATTCATCAGGCATATCCCACTCAGATTTCTGGGGTTCAACTTCAATTTCAGTGTCTACTTCACTTTCTAATGGGCATTCGACTTCTTGTGGTACGGCAGGGGAAATGGATCTTGCAGTAGGACAAGATTCCATGTCATGGCTTATGCCGTTTGGAGGGCTTTAAATAAATTAAATGAAATTATCAATTCCAAATCATTTGTTCAACATAAATGTTCATTAAAAATATATTGTATACCCTTCAAGCTTTGCGCTAACCCTTAATAATGGTAGTTCCATAAAATTGTGAGGTCTGTAACTTAAACACACAAAAAAAAAGTACCACATGATTAACATACAAAGGTTTGAAAATGTTTCAAATCTTTGCATAAATAATAACAGCCAGTGTATTCAAAGTGTGCTATCAACAAGAGTGCTTGCTAATTCTAAAGTCAATGTTTTAGTAAACATACTGGCCTAGCACCAAGCAAATACTAACTCAATACACAAACAAAATATTGTCTGCTTTCTCAGTCAGCTTGAAATTAAGACTAAGGATAAACCACCACCAAATCTAAAACTGCTGGGAAGATCACTACGTGCTAGCTATAGTAATTTGAAGCTGAATTAGATATTATGATTTAACCAACAGAGATCTATATACAATTAAATATCATGGTTCAGCCTATATAAATTTATATACAACAGATATCATGATTTAGCCTATAAAGATCTATACACAATTACATCATGGTTTGGCATACCGAAACAACCCTACACATGCAGGAGGTTGGTTCATTAGATAAAATTAATTGTTTATTATAATGTGAAATATATTTAGTGTATCTTCTTGAAATTTGGTAAACTTTTAGCAAACATTATAAGTATTTTTTACACAAAAATACCAATTCTTAATAAAGTATTTATATTAAAGATATGTCTCTAAATTTACTTTGGTCAGTCACACTAAGACTAGTCTTAGTGCAAGGTGATTTTAATGTTAAGAATAAAAATACATTTTTTCATCTTACAGTTTTTATTTTCATAACATCAAGAACCTCCTAAATAAATATCAAAAGTTATTTTTTCTGTAAAACTTTATATATTATCTGTTATTTGCTCTACTCTAACAACAGTGTACATGGGATTGGTTAATTTGACCATCTTCACAAGTGTAAAAAATTCAAACTAGGTGAAAGGTGTATATAGCTAAATTTCTCTATTGCAAGCTTTGTTTCAGCAATCAAGTACATATACAAGTATGTAGTCAAAATACATTAACCTAACGAAGTGAAACAGGAAGCTCCAACAGTCATACTTTGCTTATGGGAGATATTACAGTTATCTGACTGGTAAGGGATGGCCCAAAATCAAAATCACTGATTTTTGAAATTTCTAAACTTGTTGAGTATTTAGAAAGGATTAGTTTTGATAAAACTCATTTCAAGGCTATAACTGGATCAAAGTTCATAGCAAAAGTACAAAGTAGGAATGGATAGAATGATGGCCACACCCACTTTGAGGTTGCACCGTGCCAAAAACCACCAATTGTTGCAATGTTATCCTACCCATTCCTACCTTGTCTCCTTATTTTTTGGTGCTCCATTCCTACTTCCTAATTTATTTATTTAAAAAATGTTTACACCTCTCTCAGAGTTTTTTTTGGTACTACATCTTGAGAGTAACTGAGCTATATGCCTATATTTCTTGTAGCTTTTCTTACAGTATCTTTCAACATTTCCTGGCTTTTGCCGATATCTTTGCTATATTTTTTCTTCCATCTAGTGTCAGCCTTTTCTTTGGCTAGAGTAATGGCTAAGGCTTGTTTCGCATATTCAGCATTATTTTTTCTAACCATATATCTATTCTTTCAGTAATGCTTTCTTTGATGCAACAAAAACTTTTCAACATAAGATTTTCTTCTTTTCTCTTGTTTTACTTCCTTGAAAATCTCACTGTTCTAAGTACAACCTTAAATGTCAATAAGGCACAGTTTGAAAACCATGCAAAGGAAATTTATACAAATTACTGTTCTTTTTCAGTCCAGAGAACTCAAGCAAAGCCAAGTCAAACATTGGTAGTATTCGTCTTCACATAGGAGACTCACACCTTAGGCATTGATTGCTATGATAGAATTGCTTGTCCAACACAGAACCATCAAGTCAGATGTACAGAACTGAAAACTTTGCTTTCAAAGGTTAGATCATAGTTAAAATCTAGATTTAGAGAACATAGCTAACATTTGTTTATCTAGCTGATACAGCTGCA